TATATATATTTAAGAAGCAGACAGACTCTTAGGAAGAAAAAAAAAACTATTCCTAATTACTGAAGGACTGTTCTAAATCCATGCACTTTTGTTTCATTCAGTTGTGAGCCTTCTTGAAATAAGCATATGGACGAACTGAAAGTCTTTCTGATGGGGCTTCACTTTTTGTTGGATAAATAACCAGGCCGTTTTCCCCAAAATGCTTTTACAACTATAGCAATGGAAGTCCTTGTTGACTGTGAGAAGGACTTTGAAACAGGTTTGCTCACACATGCCTTGAAATAGACTGACTGACACTCTCTTAACCCCATCTTCCCCACCATTAACTCCAACACATACCCTTGCAGTTATCACCACCTCTGCATTTTTTCTATTCTCTTGCTCCTGGCTTGTATTACCTTCTGTATTTATTTTGTATCCCTTTTCCTGTCATTTTTTTGGCTATTTTCTGTCATTTTTTCCTTGTTATTTTGTTCTTCCTGGAAATCTTCTCTTCATTATTTCTTCTCCTTCCTCTCCTCCCTACCCCAAGAGAGACCATGCTGTATAAAAACACTTTGTTAAACAGAAAACTATGTGCTGCTCAGGGGAGGGAGACTGACTTCAGAAGCAGTAAAAACAAACAGCAGCATCTGGTTTTAAGATGAGCTGAATATGAAAGGAGCAAAAGAAATTAACTTGGCTATTGAAATGTTGGATCTTGCAGTCAAGTAAATCTGAGTAGATCCAATGACTGATCTCATAGGGTCCTCCAAGAAGCAAGGGTTAGAAGAATATGCCTGATGCATTAGCCACATCTGCAGGAGTATTCTAGGGGTAGGCAAGACAGAATTCTGCAGCTTTCCTTATCCCCACTACTTTTCTCCAGAATTGCTGCTCCCATTTCCCCTGACATACAAATTACACTATCTCTGTTGTAAACTAACACATAATACTGCATATTAAAGTGGAATTTAAAAGCCTCACTTCCAATGCAATATGATCCAAATGTTATTTCATTCTATATATAAACTCAAAAGTAAGTTTATTACTAAATCTCTTCATGAAAAGAGGACAGGCATTTTTCACTAAATTATATTAAGGAGCAGTGTGTACTCAACTTGAAAAAGCCTATTTGGCAAAGGTGATTGGTAACTCCTTTGAGTTTTATGTACGTCTTTAAATGTTATAATTAAACAAAAGATTACATAGAACCTATACTGATCTGCACCACAATCTTGATCAACTGAATTATCGTGTAGTTAGTTAATCTTTAGCAAATCCTCAACTTCAAAATGGAAAAGAAACTCAGACTGAAAAACAAGCTTAAAACAAAATCATTATAAGCCAATTGTAGAATCTTTTTTAGTTTCTAAACTTGCTATCTGACAAAACTTTTTAAGGTAAAGCCCTTGTAGAAACGTATTGTCACTTATTCTTGCTTACCTTTTTATGTTGGCTAGCGCCTTCACTGGAGTGATGTGGCTCAGAAATTGCTCAGTTACAGCCAATTTATTCACTGAACACGTGGCAAGGAGCCAGACTGCAAAAGAAAAAAAGCTGGCTGTGAACCCAGTCCTTTCACAGGATGAAATAATGAGTGTATCGCTTCATCTATACACCCACTCATCCACAAAAGTCCAACTAAATAGTCTTTGTGCAAGAGAACTCTGTGGACGTAATCAGTATAGGCAATCTTTTCTACATTCCATTTATTCTAGAACTAATGGTGGAAGGAAATCCACAATGTTTTGCTAGTGCCAGACTCTTTTTTAAAGGCTCAAAGGACTAACTGCCAGAAATAAGACTTCTTCCAGTAAGTAGAGAAAAAACCCACACATGGGAAAAATAAATTGGATACTAGTAATGCAATTTGAATAGCCTGTTAAACTTTTTGAAGATTATGCAACAGATCTAGGGCCTGAATCATAGCCTTTCAATTGGTGAAAGAGTAATGGCCAAAAGACTACTCACTTTATGAAAAGGGGAAGAAATAGCGCCAAAAATATTACACACAAACATACAACATCTAAATATGAACAACTTGATTATTATGTCTTGCCAGTTTTATGCTGATGGACAAACTGGTCTACCACTGATAGAAATCTGGGACAGCTGATCTCATAAGATTTCTCAGAGCCTGGATTTCAGCTCACTTGGATCTGGAAAACAGACCACTTTAGATTTTGGATCTGATTTAGAGTTAAAATACTAATGGTGCATTTGGCTCCCAGTTTCTCACCTAATCTCAATGGATTTTAGGGACTTAAGATTAAATATTGTGTAACTCCTAGTGGCATGCAAAAATATAAATTAGACTGTAACAATTTGGTACCAAAATTTTTCTCGAATGTTTCTTCAATGTAACATTTTTTTCCAAGCGGTGAAGATAGTAACTACACTTGGTTTTAGGGGCTGTTCTACAGCAGCTTCACAAAACAGACTAAGTGTTAGTCCCATTGCAAATGTATCAATTCATTTTTGGGAGGGGGCAGGGGAAGGGATGTGCTGTTCTAACGAACAAATTTTCTAAGAACTAATAGCCATTCTTGCTATGCTTCTTTTCCTGTTTACATACTACTATATTTATATAGCCTATATATAGGCTATATAGCACACTCATTTGTAGTCCTATCTGCTGCTTACAGTACATCCAAACTGTCATGAACTAGTTTGAGTTCTTGCTGGGCAATAAAGCTAATTTTTCTTGCATTGTTTGTCATTCAGAACTGCAGTCTATTTCATTTGAAAGCATTTGGGTACACTTACGTACACTTCATTTAGACCTATTCCTCAACTTCAGAGGTGTTTAGGGCTGCCAGGTGTCTGGTTTTGATAATTTCCTCAACTTCAGAGGTGTTTAGGACTGCTAGGTGTCTGGTTTTGAACTGGACAGTCCAGAATTTGAGCTTTCTGTTCGGGAAACAAATTGAGAAAATATAAATGAGAAAATACAAATGTCCGGTATTTTCTAAATAAGATGTAATGTAGATTGTAATGTAATGTCAAGTGTGTCCAGTATTTTTGTTGAAACCATCTAGCAACCCTGTGTCTGAGTACAACTGAGGGCAGAATTTGACCTTGTACAGCTAATGAACTTTGAAGAGATTGATTTGGCCTGCATATGATCATGCCTATGCTGTTAATTGTATTAGTCTATCAAGACCAAGAAATACTTACTTCTTTAAAAATACACAGGAAAAAAATGTGGAAGATCATGTCCAGAGCCCTTCTAATGCTGCCCAGCTGCTTGTGTATTTCTTTGAGTTATACTGTATTGAATGTTATAAGTTGTTCCTACTTACTATAGCTAGATAATGCTTGATCTATACATAGATCACATACACGAAGGTAAAGGTTCCTGTACAGGGAAGTTTTTGTCTTAATTTTGATGGCGTATATGGGCCCAACGAGTTAAAGGTGTTAGCATAACCAGTGTTCCCTGTAAGCTGTGCACTTTGGCGGCCATCCAGGAGAAATTCAAGCGCAGCCCAGCTGACTAGCAGAGTGCCCGTAGACAACAGCATGTGTCTCTACTGGTGATGCACATCCACACATGACTTCGTACACATAACACAATTTTTTCTGCACATGGATAGAAAAAAATAGAGGAAACATTGAACATGATCCTGTTATTGTTTAATAGTAAGCTATTTAAACAAGATTTGAGGTTTAGTATAGAGATCTTAGCCTGCCTAAACAAAAGACAGGACTGGAAGTGGGTCTGGCCCACAAAAGCTCATCACCTAATAAACCATCTTGTTAGTCTTTTAAGTGCTGCATACTCTTATCTTCTGTTTCAGCTAGACCAGACAAACACGGCTACATCTCTATTACTTTTAGCCTGCCTAGTACCACAGCAAACACCATTAAAAATTAAGAAGATAGTTAAAGCATTTGAAATGTAAAGTACTGACAAAGGCTTTTATTTTAATAATATTTCTTGCTGAGGTTTTTAATGGTGGAAAGTTGTTTTTGGAAAAAAAACTTTGATAGTCTTTCAGATGATATGGCAGATGGTAATAGCTGTCCTTTTTGGGAGAGAAAAAGAAAAAGTTAAGATGGGATGGTGCTCTTATTATTTAAGTCCAGTTTTGCTTTTATAAAACAGAGCAAGACACACACACACAAGGGAGAGAAAAAACCCAGCAAAGATAAGACTTTTGTTTGCAGCCTCACTACCGGAAAAATATAAGCAGCGCACACAGTCTCATTAGACACTTCGAACCTGACAAATTTGTACCAGCATTGGGCTGTTTAGGGCATAGATTTTAATTGCCTTTTTGGTTACAGGCTCATCGTTGTGTTGTAAAATACAGTAGAACTCCGATGGTCCAGCATCTGATGGTCCAGCACTCCTGATGGTCCAGCACCATCAGGAACCCGGAAGTGCTCCGGGCAGCCGGACCATTGGAGCTGCTCTGCCCCCAACTTCCCCATTCAGCCGCTGCTAAAACTGACCCGCGGCTGAATCTGGGAAGCCGGGGGCAGAGCAGCCGGGGCGCTGCCGGGGT